ATGTCAAGCAAAGGATGTGTGGCAGGACAAGTGACTGGAGATGCAAGCAAGAACATAGTTTTTAAGGTCCTGTTGGCTACAGCATTAATCTTGAACTTAACCTAAAAACACTGGAGAACCACTGTAAGTGTCAAACTTCATTTTTGTAGAAATTGAGAACTAATGTAGAGGCTGAGCTGCAGAGATACAGGTAAACTAGTTAGGCTGTGACATCATCCCGAAGAGAAACGATACACATTGATGGCAAGGAAGAGGTGTTGGACTTCAGATTTGTCAGGTAGATGGCTTTGGTGTGAGAGATGAAGAGGAATGTTCTAGAATTTCCCAGGATTCTGGCTTGAGTAGCTAGCTCATGCCATAATCAAGAGAGGTTAAACAGGAGGCGCTTGGAGATATGTTGCTTATGAGATGCCCATGGGATCCAGGTTGAACTGTCCAGTAACAGCTGTGGAGATTTATACACGGACAGACATGCTAGTTAGTGTTTAGAAATGTCAGGCTGGAAATTACGTTTGGCTGGCGTTAGCATACATATAATAAGGGAATTAAAGCCATAAATGTGGATGCAGTCATCTGAGGAGAGCTTAAAATGCAAGGTGTTTATGATATGAGGGTCCATGAACCAGCCTTTTTTTTTACAATCAAGTGTCTGTACATACATGCACATGTGGCTGTTTCTCCAAGAAGAGCCATACTTTGATCAGTTACAGTGGATCTGGAAATTCAGACGTTAAGCAGTAGTGCTCTATGAGGAGAAACAAGGCCAAGGGCACACGCACTGAAAGGACCGATAGGACAGCACAGCCCTCCAAGCTGGTTAGAGGAGATGCTAGAGAAGGAGTGTGTGAGGCGCTGCAGGGGCTCTGGATCCTAGATGCTGCGTGCAGACAGTCACACACTCCTTCACCCTGTGGAGTAGGTATGAGTTTAGGAGCAGAATGCCCAGGGTTACCAAAGTACTGCCAAAGGAAGACTGAAAACTGTCCTTAACCCTATACACACACACCCACTTCTCCACAGCTGAGAGGCGGATGAGGGGGGATATTCCGAGAGGCTCTCGGCAGGGATGGGGAGGGGTTGGTGGTACAGAGTCGTCCTTACAAAGTGGAACATGCTCCAGTCAGGAACGGCACTCCCACTTCTCTCACTTAGCTGGTATAAGGTGTTAGCTGCAATTTGATGAGGAAAATGTACTTCAAAATTCAGTGTTCTTCAAAATACAGTAGTAAAACATAAGCCAGATTTGAGTTTTCTGATTTCAACACAGTAACGAACAGGAGTCATGCACCATAAGAACTGGCAGACTCTTTGAGCAATCCAGTCCTCTTCCCCTATTTCACTGACAGAAAAATTGAGTCCCTAAAGGGGACTCAGGACCCCAAAGCAAAGAGGAAAGAACTAGGCTTTTTTATGCTTTAAGACTTTCTGTAAGGACAAATACTTTTGTCTGGTGGGAAAAATGAATGACTAAATCACCCTCCAAATGTAAAGAGATGGTATTTTAAAATTCACTGGTGACCTAAATGTGCTTAGTTAGAAACACTTCCCTCTTGCACTTGAATAATTTATACACAGTAATATTTTATTAGCATAACAATTTATTAGCAGACAAATGAAACGACACCTTGAGATCTCAACATATACAGGATCTTATTAATAAACATCACAAACAGATCCCAGAAGTAAAGGAGCTGCTATTAACCAATTGCCCCCTCTCTTGAAATAGGCTGTGATCCATCAATAACTCATCCTCAATCCATGGAGGATTAAGCATGACTTATGTAGAGTAGCATCAAGGCACTTGTTTTAATTTAAACAGATATACATACATGGTATAAAACACATTCCCAAAAGTCATTAGTCTTGAATAAACTGGGAAAAAAAAAAGCAGTATACTTTTTTTAGTGAATAGACAAGACTGAGAATTTAAGTTCATTCAGCTCTAATCCTAATATTGACTTGACTTGTATATAAAACTGAAAAGGAGACCAAAAAAGATAGCATTTTATATAGATTGGTTTGTTCACACTAATTTGAGGAATCATGACAGCATCAGAACTCAAACAGTAACTCCCAAACTGATTTGAATTGAAAAGGCAAGAGCAAAAAAAAGAAAGAAAAGAAAAGTCAAGAGCAATTTCATTCCAAGTAATTTATTATCGTAGGGATGGGGAGTGGGGTGTGGGAAGAGAACTTCCCTAAAATAAGTTTCTTTAAACTGCAGTTAGAGATCCTTTGTGACTAAGGATGCTTGTCTGTTTACCTAGTAAAAACCCTTTGTTAGAAATTCTGTCACTGGTATTTTTAGTAAGATTACAATTATTTGGCCAATTTCAGAGTCATAATTCAAGTCCAAGAAAGTTTATTCAAAGTTCCAATGTAGATTTATAAATGTGGTGGCTCCAATATAGGCATCTAGTGTCCTTCATTATTCCAGTTTTCATTTTTCAATATCTCCTTCCTATTTTACATCACTAGGAGAAAAATATACACAAGAAAAAAGTCTACTATTTGGTATATGCTTATTTTACTTTCCTAACTGTATTAACATGTTTACTTTAAAATTTCAGGTGCAAAACACTTGCTTAAAAAATAGTCCTTGTCAAGATAAAAACTACCTTATAGAAATAAATTTCCCCCACTTCTATGTTTAAATTCTCCATTTCTAAAGTTATTAACATCTTTTTTAAAAACCTAAAATTGTATATAGTATTTCAAAAGTATTTTACTTTAATAATGATAATAGGCTATAATAATAAACTAGTTGGTATAATATTTTGGCCTACTGCATTATAATTTTCATTCTTGTTATTAGCACTTGAATGATTCCATTCATGATTTCTAAAATCCTTACTCCACAAGAAAAAAAAAAGCCTAATTAGTTCATAGCCTAAAAGCTTTCTAGATCTAATTTCTTCCTTTTGCAGTTCTTAAAGCCGTTTCAAATAAGGCATCACTAGAACAGATAAACGGAGAAGGCAATGGCACCCCACTCCAGTACTCTTGCCTGGAAAATCCCATGGACGTAGGAGCCTGGTAGGCTGCAGTCCATGGAGTTGCGAAGAGTCGGACATAACTGAGCGACTTCACTTTCACTTTTATGCATTGGAGAAGGAAATGGCAACCCACTCCAGTGTTCTTGCCTGGAGAATCCCAGGGATGGGGTCGCAGAACAGATAAAATAGTAGTGGAAAAAAAGAGAAACATCAAAGAACAGAAAAATTAAAGTCTGAATCCTATCGACTGGATTCTTACCTTGTCACTGTGCAATCATTCCTTGAGCAGAACAGGGGCATCCTTGTTTGCCTCAGTTGCCTGCCTTCCATTCAGACATCAGTCCAGGTTCAGCTTAGGCCCTCCATAAAGCAACTCCAAGTGCTGCCATGTGTTACTAGAAAAGTTAGCATATAGCCCACCTACTGGATTTAAGTTCCAGCATCTGGCCAGGGCCCTGGACTCCTGCTTAGGTCCTCAGGATGTATTTGAGGTACTGTCTACATTGATGTTATGGCTCATCTATAGGAATACATAGAGGAAAACAATTAAGAACATAAATAAGGAGCACAGAGCTTGAATTTATCATAACTTCTAGGTTTGACTTAAGTTTCCCCAAAATTCACTACAATCCTAGTCTTTTATATTAGGCTCAGGGCTAACACCTCGTGTTCTTAAGTGACTAATTATTAACAGAATACCCCTGCAGGGAATTACTTTTCTTGTTAAAATGTGGTCATGAGCATTAGGATAGTCTGATGAACTCATCTAATATATTGACACAGTTTAAAGATCACTGCTTACCATGCTATAAATTTACCAATAAATTTTGGTTTCAGTGTCTACTGATGTTTAAAAGTCAGTTTATCCAAATTTTGCTCCTTAAAAAAGTCAATTAGACATCTGTCAGTTTTACTGCTATCAGAGGCTACAGTCACTCAATCGAGAGCTCTGCAGTAGGTCAACCCCAGCTTTGGCCTCAACCTTGGCTACCGGCTCTTTCACTTTAGTGAATCTGTGCACTCCCCTTCTAGAAGCAGAATCCAGTTCTGAGTCTGCTCTCACAGTAAGCTGTGCTCTAAATCCTGGTCTCCCTGCTTATGGACAGTCATGTATGACGCTAACCAGGGCTGAATCCTATTCATCTGAGGCCCTCTTCTTTTCTCCCTTGCTTGGTCAGAGATCACCTTTTTAAGTCCATTCCCTTCACCTCTCTCTTGAATATTACCCTTTGATTCTAGGTGAACTCTACCTCACCCTGGCTGTATGAGTTTTAACCATCAAGAGTGTACATATATTTCAATTAAATGACCATTGTAAGATATTCAGAACTTTGTACATTCATCAATAAGCAATACAGATACGCCTCAGTTAGACTGTAAAGTTCAGAGTAAGCAAGACATTTTTGTGTCAATGAAGTGTGTAAAATATCACCTAATCAACTAAATCAACCAAACCTTTGAACAAGAAAGCAAATTCCTTTGGCTATGGTTTCAGGCTTGATTCCTTTAAATACCATCAAAAAATCTTAACATGAAAGTACAAGCAGATTTCAAACCAAGCAGACAAGGTAAGAATTAAATTCTAGTGTATCTTCAGTATTTTTACAAATGGCTTTCAAAAGCAGATCTCTTACTTGTTCAGGTAGGTAGGAGAAAAACCAGAACACAATTCAAGAATCTGCTAATTGCATAAAGTTCCATAATTGTTTATATCTACATTTTGGACAGAAATGGGAGGTAAAGGTCAAAGCCTGTTATTCTGTCCTTTTAAGAGATTTTCTAAATTCTTCAGACTCTGTTCTTTTTTAATTTCCCCATGGCAGGGTTTGCTAAAATTATAAAGTCATCTTGAACATGTACTCATTACATGTACTCTGAACATGGCATTAGAGAACATGAACATGTACTCTGTCACATGGCATTAGGTATTTACCATGATCTGGATTCAAACTTGGCTCGGATAAGGTACAAGACCGGGTTGAAAACAAATGACAACCAAGATACTTTGAATTTACTATTCCTATTTGTAAGATTGGAGAGACAGAGCAAATATTTGCTACAAACAATAAACAAAAGAGACACAAATACAAACAGCAGTTAACATTTCTGCAATTCAAGACTTAAGTTCTAAAAGGATGTCAAAACTCTAAAGACACTATTACATTTAATCGTGATGTCAATCACCTCAAGGAGAGAAACCTAGCTCCTGAGAAACTGCTTTGTTTTAATGATAGAAAGGCATTTTTCATGTAAACTGATGGGCAGAGCTCTATCAAAAGAAAACCAACACTGCAGCTTATGGAGCCAACAAGAAAGATGTTTAAAAGTCTCCCACTTCAGTAGATGCGTTATACATAGGGTTTGTTTCTCATAAACATACTGTTTAGAATGTAGGAGAATGGGTTAAAAATGATTTTGCACTTTTGTAGTTTTTATCTTGTTTGTTTAAAATGGTGTGCTAAATGTTTCAGTCTCATATAAACTAGTCTCCTAATCCTAAATTTGGAAAATCTGTTTTTTTCCCTCACCCATAAAGGTCCAGATACAGAACTATAAGCTTTCAATGTCAGACATACTTTTCCAAAGGAAATATTTTTGTACCATACTAGTGACCAGATATGATAAATAGTACATCTCCAGAACCTGGGTTATATGAACGTGATGCTTCTAAATCCTTTTACACAATAGTTTTAGGTGGCCCAAAGAGCGAAAAGTAGTCACTGTCATCAGTATTTATTATACATCAACAGGGCGCATAGCAGTAAGATTAGCTTTGTTTTCACTAAAACATCTACAATTATTGATGTTCTTTTGGAAGCATTCTGTCACTTCTGTGCATTTTTCTCCATTGGTCACAATAAATTTTTTTCTTACAGAGTAAAAATGAATAGCAGCTTCTTAAATATGAGAAAGACAGTCAATTCCCAGCTGACTCTCACTAAACAAGGGAAGGAAAGAAAAATTCACTACTAAATAAACAAATTCTTAAGGGAAGAATTTGTTTAAACAACTTAAGGGAAGTTGTCAGTCATTCCTTTTTTTGCAATCTGTCCAGAACAGTTTGCCTCAACGTCACTTAAAAGGCTACATGAAATTGCTAAGTCAGCACCATGCCTTCTGTCTGGCAAACTTGTCACTCACTGGCAATCAGACATAGCGGTTTAGAACAGATTCCATGGGAAACACACTAAGTGAAAGTTAAAACAGAGCTTAATGGCAGATTAACACTCAGAAACAAGGACAGACAGGAATCACAGAAGAGATAGGAAGGATTCTCACTATGTTGACTGGCATGAAGAGCTCTTTTCTCACCTACTTACCCTAACCAAAAAGGCTGACTAAAAATATCAAATGTATCACACCAAGAGCATTCTGTATAATGTGGGACTGGCTGGTAGGGTTTCACAAACCTGCTCTGCCATCAGACTCCTGATAAGACTGTGCCAGAGAGGAATGATACTTCCCTGTAAAAAGCCAGAGATCTGACTGTCATCTGGAGAACAAAGACAGGGGCTAGAGAAGCTCAAGCGAGAACAAGCTTGTCTAATTACTACCCTACGCTCCAGAAGCCTCTTGACTTGCTGTTACAAGAGAAGACATAAATTCTTTCCCTACTTCCTTTCTACTCTGTCTCTAGGGAGCCCTGCCAAACAGGCTCCAGCACCTCTTATGTACATGTCAGCTTTACCCCTTTACCTTCTGGAGAAGCAAGAGTCCAGATGCGTATCTCCTAAAACAGGATGGTAATTAAGTTTGGGGGCTACTTTACAGTTCAACAGATATTTATTTAATTCCAAGAATATCTCATATTTACAAGAAAACTTAAAACCACATTTTCTTATTTTGATTCTGCTTAACTAAAAGCTCTGCTGCATTTGTGTATCTACAAAGGCCATCAACTTCAAAGGAAGAATTCTGCCTAGCCAAAAGGTTAAAATTTCTAGTGTGCAACAATTTCCAGTTCCACAGTATAAAAGGCTACACACCTGAAATTTTAACCTATTGGCCAGATGGGATTCTTCCTTCCATCTACCTTCTCAGTCACTGGAAAAACTTGGACCATTGGGAACATATCTCTCTTTTTGATTCTGAGAGTCTTCTGCAAAATTCATTGCTTCATACACACTATAAAAAAGAAGGTTTTCTTCATCCTTTTTGCAGTACTCTCCCTGGGCCAGGAAGTCCCGCACAGAGGGATTTTACTTAGCCAGCAGAACCTGGATGCCAATAGCTTCATAATCTCTGCGAACTTCTTTCAGTGTATGGATCCCTGCTGTATCTAAAAACTGTATTGCACTACAGTCAATCACTATTGTATGGAACTCTAAGGGATCATGGGAAAGTTGCACTGAAACTTCATCCTGGATTCCACTGAATGTTACTGTTTCCCTTTTGATCTTTTTCTTTGCTGCCTTCCTCTGAGCTGCTTTTACTAAGACTGGGTTGAGAGTTTTTTTGTATAAAGCAGATTTAAAATATTCTTTGTTTACATAGTAGAGTGGGGCCACAAAGCGGAAAATCTTGATGCCTGACTTGGTCTGAAGGTTCTTGTAGGCAGACATGGATTCAAAGACTTCAGAATCTTCCACCAGGCCAAGCAATGAAGTCCTTGGCTTCTGAGTGCGGAGGATGACACAAAACATAGAAAAACAAACCCCAGTAAGCAGGCCTATTTCAGTACTGATCAGTGCAGAGGACAGCATGGTAACAAACCAGATAACTGTGTCCATTCTGCTAATCCTCCACATCTGGGGCAGATCCTTAAATTTACGTAGGGCTCCCCGGAGATTTACGATAGTTATCACACCAAGGACACTTTTCTGCAGGGAGAAGAACAAAGGAGCTATGACCAAGAGTACCAACAGAAGAACCAGAGCTGTCACCACACCAGAAACCTGAGTTTGACAGCCTGTTGATTCCTTCACCAGTGTCTTTGCAAGAGCTGCACTAGTAGTGAAGCAGTGGAAGAAGGAAGGGATGATATTGCAAAAGCCGATAGCGTACATTTCCTGATTAGCTTTGACTGTGTAGTCATGTTTCTTGGCAAACATCTCAGAAAGTGATACAGTGATAGCAAACCCAATGATAGCAATAGCTATTGCATCTACAGCCACTCTAGGAATTAAGTTCCAGTCAGGTGCTTTGGGTGGCATAAACCCAGTGGGAATATACCCAGCAATACTGGTGCCGTATTTCTCATTCAGTTTTCCAAAATGAGAGGCTAATGTGGCTGCCACAACAACAAAGAGTTCAACAGGAATCGGTGCCTTAAGCTTGGACTTGAAGCGCTCATTGAGTTCTTTGGTTGGCAGAAGAACCAGAAGGCACAAAAGGCTGGTGACAAGATCACAGATATTGGTCTTATGAATGTTTCTGAATACATGTATCCAAGTAGTGATGAGTGATCCCACTCCACCACTCCGAGGAAGGCTGAGTCCAAGGAGGTACTTGACTTGAGATGTAAGAATAGTGAAGGAGGCACCAGTGACAAATCCACTCAGCAAGGCATCAGAGAGGTAGACTGAAACAAAGCCCACTTGAAAGAAGCCCATCGCTACCTGAAAGAAAGGATATACAAGTGTTAAATATAAATGGAGAAGACCTTATAAATCCTATATTCCCCTAGCATTTCTTTGTGTGGAGACACACTATCAGAGCACCACAGAATGTCAAAGCTAGAAACAAAAACACAATCATTTATCAATCCCCTCATTTTACAAACAGAGGGCTCATTTTACTGATACTCAGAGGCCTGAACAAGTTGCCCAAGGTCACACAGTGTTACTAACTAACCCAGACAAGAAGTCAGGATTCCTACTTTCTTGTTCAATATTTCTTAAACTTGAATAAGGTTCAGATTGCTTTGAAAAAGAAAAAATTTCCCAAGGATCTATGAGAAATCCTAAAGATGCAAACTGGAAAAATTCTAACTTAAAAAACATTTATTTTTCTTTAAATCACATGTCATTACTGTAAAACTGATAAAAAACTAGATTCACATCAAAATGGAATCACACTTTAAAAAATTATTATAGAGCTCTCTTTAATCTAACTTCAAACTGAAAAACGATTTTCAGCCAGTGTACATGTGCTTATGCCATACTGCCTCCCATGTTAATTCTACATCCTCAGAGATACAATATTTTATTTCTTTTTCTTCGTCCCAATTAATTCTTCCTCAAAATTCTAGTGTACCCTTTCTCATTCTTGGTGAGCCATACTAATGAAAAAGCAAAAATGAACTCTGAGGACACAACTCTTCTGTTAACCAGCCTCTTCTCCCTTCCCTCCTACCCAGGCACCTAATAGAGTGAGCTACTCTTCTGCATCCCATGTTGGTTCTAAATGTCTCTAACAGAGAAGAGGGTTAATGCTGGCACTGACTCCTGAATGCCAAAAGGCACAGGCATGATGATAATGGCAGACCAGTGGACTCTGTGGAGACCCAAGAACTTCATTTCTAATTCTTTTCCTGGCTGATAGTATGAAATAGAGGTCCCCAACTTGTTTCCTCCCCAACAGTCCGAGAAAACTACAAACTTTAGTGAGAGTCACTGACTAGAGCAGCAATTCTAAAAGAAAGGGGGAAGTCACCTACAGTTTAAAAAACTTGCACTCTTCCTCTCTCAACCCCCAGTCACCCTCTTGCCTGTTAGTGCTGACTCTGCCAGTAACCAACCACAAGTAACTTCAAGCAAATCTGATAGTTCTTGATATATAAAATTAAGAAGTTGAACTAGGTGGTCTGAGGTCCCTTTCTGGTCTAAATTTTTACAACCAAATAATTAAATTCTGGCTGGCTGACATTCACTAGTTAAAAGGCAGCCTAAAGTTGAGAAAATAGAAGCGGCCTGATCTTACTTGTGGAGTCAAACCAGGGTTCAAATTTTGGCGCTACCTGTTCCATATCCTGGGTACTCAATGATAGCTTTATTATGATTGCTAAGATCCCTGACAGAACTGAGACTTCATGTATAGTGATTTCTTTTGCCAGAAAGAGTCGCTTATTCCATCGTTTCTTACCTGATAAACTCCAGCCACAAAGGTTACAGTGCTGCCAACTATAATTGCATAGCAACTTCTGTCACATGTCTTGTCTGACATCTGGTTTACTAATGAGCTGTCATTTGAAGCAGCATGGACAGTATCATAGCCAGCTATGTATAGTTCTCGGTCAACTACTTCACCAATCATAAGGCACAGTACTCCAAAAATGCCTACAGAAATGTGACGGGAGGTACCCAAAATGAAATAAATGAGGCTGGCAAAAAAAGATGTGTACAGACCATAGATAGGTTCTTGGCCAGCCAAGAGAGAATAAGCAATGGATTGGGGCACCAATAAGATGCCCACAATCAAGCCAGACATCACATCTCCTAAAATGTTTTTCTTCAGATCATATTTTGGGAGCCACTGCAAAACAGGAAGGAAACCAAAAATGATATTTTTGGCTTTGGTTGAATTGCACTGGCAACTCTTCTCTAGTTTTTTGATAACAAACTTCTTGAAGTTATTATCTGATTTCTCTTGAGGCTCTAAATAGATCCTACGGTGTCTAAAAAGATCACTGGACTCAAACTGCCGGAAGTCATTACGTGATTCCTCTTCATGCTCCAGGTGGATCCCAGATGGAGCTCTGTACTGGTCATTTCCTTTAACTGAGTCCTTGGGTGAAAGGTCATTTTGCTCTTCATTTTTCAAAGACATTTCTGGAGATAGATGTTTCAACCTCCTATCCCAGAGAAAACAGCAGGGTTAACTTATGTAATTCTCAGTACTCACATATTTTAACAGTCCTACTTGTCATGCATGAGAGTTAAGACGAGTTCAATTTAGGGGTAGGTATCTTTCGTTCACTTTCCTTAGTTGAGCCTCATTTGTCTTGACCCAGGAAAAAAGAATCAGACCGTAAACAACCAAGTTAAAGCAAACAATTTATGGAGTACAGGGCTTTCCAGAAGTATAAACTATCAAGGATTCTTCTCCACCTCTGCTGGTACCTTACGCAGTTTTTTTCCTTCAGAAACAGTATCAGGGTAGCCTGTCTCCTCCTTTCTACCTGCTATTAACTATCCTACTTTCAGGTTTTTTACTCTAAGGAATTCTGAAAAGAGGTTCTGGTCTCAAACCTTGACATCTACCTTACCTGCAACAGTCCCTGAAACAAGGAAGATGACTGATTTTTTTTTAAAGAGGCGGGCCCTTTTAAAATAACCTAACTGTTGAAAATAAACAGAAAGGAAATGTGAGTGACACAGTAAACTTAAATATTTTGGGAAATTAAAAAAAAAAAAGGACAGGATGCATTTGGATCTTTGAACATATTCTAGTTTGGTAGAAAAGAAGAGAGTTAAGGTGATAAGGGACCGTTGAAGGAAACAAACCACCAGCATGGGGCGGACTGACGGGGCAAGTGTCTGATACATGCTCTGAAAGGTTCTGGTCTATTCATTCTACTTTGTTTTGGTATAGTCACACCTGTCCTGTGTGCAGGATCTATATACATGCAAAGACAGCTTTGCTTTACTATTCCAAGTACACACTGTGAAACATAAGCTGAATGGAGTAATGATGGTGCCAACATGTCAACTTGGAGGGCGATCCAGGTGACCCCGCATCTCTGGGTCCTAAAGCACAAAACCAATGCCACATGACCTGTCACTAAGGACTACAGGAAAACAAAGAAGGTAGAAACAAGTAAACAGAGAGGCGGGACAACAACAACAAAAAATAAGTCTTGTAGTAAAAGAGAAGGAAAAAGAAACAGGGCTTCAGAGGAACAGAGTGTCAACTGGCAAATACCTCACCAATCAGTGTCTTTGTGTTAGCTGTTTGCTTAGCTTAGAATGGCCATCCAACTCTCGCCTATCAAGATCCTAAACATTAAAAAAACCCAGTTAAAAATTCCTTCTCTTCTTCAAAGCACTGACCAATCTTCCTCAGTCCAAATGAATCTTAATCAACTGGCACTTCACACCTGCACTACAGTACTAACCACACTCATATTAAGAGTCTCCCCAGCTCCTGGGGAAAGGATATCTTGTTCATCTTTGTAATCATCAACAATGTACAGTATCTGTGAGACAGCAGGCTTACAAAATGTTTGAATGAAGGAAAGAATAAATGAATAAACAAATTTATGAGTGTGGCCAATAAGAGGTGAAATAATATTAAATAAAGGACTCAGGGAGTTTCCCATTTCAGAACTGACAGAAAGATAGGCCCTTGTGAGGTGCCATAAGCCTAATATTGCCAAGAAGTCATAATCCAGGACCCATGACCCATTCAAGCACATAGTATTTGTAAAAGCAACCCACATTAATTTTGTTTAGGATAAAAGGACTGTAGCTGGTCATCCCACTGAACAAGAGTAAAATAACAGTTACATTGATGGTCTTGTTAAATAAACAAGGAAGGAAAGAACACAATTAGATGACAACTTACCCTGAGCAAGTCAATCAGACTGATGAAAACACACAGCAGCTCTTCATTCCTCAATGCAACTGGTCCATGACTTTCTTCTCACCTTCTACTTTCAGGCCAAGCTTGCTTGAGTGCATTCTTTATGTCATTCTATTTTGGAATAGCTCTTAGTGATTTCTGAGTCAAAAGGCTTTTTCAAACCTAAGGTATGCAAAAGAGGCATAAGAAAAACTAATAAAATTCAAATCTTGCCCTATATGACAGCTAGCTGGAAAGGAAAAGGTAAAAATTAATACTAGAAAGTATGACAGAGTGATGGAAACTGTAAGGAAGAACTGAGATGAAATACAAAAAGTGAGAAACACAGTAACAGAGATAATGAATGCCTCTGACAGGACCATCCGACCTGACAAAGCTAAAGAAAGAATTGATGAAATTGAAGATAGGTCGATAGAAATTACCCAAGCTAAACAGAGAAAAACAGAATTTAAAAAAAATCAAAAACAATAAGAGAACATTCAAGAGTGGTGGGGTGTATTAGATAATCAAATTTATGCATAATTAGAATCTCAAAAGGGGAAGACATAGAGTGGGTAGAAGGAATATTTGAAGACATAATAGTCAAGAATTTTCCAAAATTAGTGACAGACACCAAACTATAGATTCAAGAATCTCAGACGATACTAAGAACGACAAATATAAAATGAAACCAAACAACATAGCACCACACACCTACACAGATTGTATTCAAACTGCTGAAAACAAAGATAAAGATAAAATTCTGAAGACAGCCAAAGGAAGGGGGAAAAAAAACATGCTAAATATATAGGAACAAAGATATGAGTTATAGCAGGCTTCTTTTTGGAAACCATATAAGCCAGAAGATGGAGTGATACTTTTATCACAGAAAGATAACTGTTAACCCAGAAAAAAAAGTTTTTTGAAGGATGAAGAAGAAATAAAAACTTTCTCAGACACACACACAGAGAATTTATTGCCAGCAGACCAGCACTACCACTACTACTGCACACACATACACCAGACAAAAACTCAGGTATGCACAATACACAGCAAAGAAATAAAGTCTGGGAAATGGAACAAATGAAAATAAAATTTATTTTTTAATTAAAACTCTTTAATTGCTCTAAAAGATAACTGCCTAAAGCAAAAATAGAAATGCATTTTATTTACAGCACATGCAAAATAAAAAGCGTAACAGTACAAATTACGGTAGGCAGAATTAAGGATTCTAAGATCTTGTACTATATATGAAGTAGTACAGTACTATGAAAGATGTATACTGTAAACTCAAGGGTACCCACTAAATTTTTTAAGATATAAATAATAAGCTACTTGTGGAGATAACATAGAATTGTAAAAAATTCTCAATTAACCCAAATGAAAAATGAGACCCAAAACAGATAGAACACATTGAAAATAGCTAGCAAGATGGTAGGATTTTATTCAGACATATAAAAAATCAAATTAAGTGTGATTTAGTGTGAATAGTCTAAACATACCAATTAAACAGATTGCCAGATAAGATTTTAAAAGACCCAATTATATGCTGTCTATAAGAAACCCACTTTAAATATAAAGATACAGATTATAATAAAGTGAAATGACTTACTGAATTTAGTAATTCATGTAACTTGTAAGTAACTTAGCCAGATAATAAAATCCAGATTTTAAGACTCTAAGAATAGCTCTTTTTTGAACATATTACTACCCATATCACTAATTAGCTTTCTTTAACTTCACTTATCTCTAAACACTTTGAAATTCAGGTACCCTATAGATCCCAGTTTCACCTACCTGTTACCCAAAATGACCTAGCACTGACAACAACAAACTGGTGTCCAACTCTCCTTTCTCTATGTTCATGGCTTTGGTCCTTTTCCATCTCCAGCTCTCAAAAACTTAGGTGGAGATAAAACAGGTATTCACTCACAAGCACTAGAAGTGGAACTGATTTAGCCATCAGTTTAAATCCAAAAACTATCTATAGTCTTTTACTGATCCTAGTCACCCACTAGAACGCTTCTCAAAAACTATGTTTTTCCCTTTTTCAAGCCTATTTTAAAAACCCCAAAACAAAGCTACATTAAAAATTATCTTAAACTAAATTCTAAGTATGACCTCCGTAGGAATTAAGCTCCTTAAGAGCAAGTTCCATTCTGGTTCATCTCTGTATCCCCTACTGTGTCCAAGTATATGCTTTCCAAAACAGGAATGAAAATATTTGCTAAATAAATAACTGAAATACAGAAAAGGTAGGATGCAAAGCAGTATTTATTTTCAGGTGGGAATATCTACTTTGGAACACATTTTTCAAGTATCCTTTTTTTTGCACAAAAATCCTCTCATTCCCTCAAGCCTGTTACCGCTTAATTATAGTATTCACCAACTGCTTCATGAAAATTAAGAAGTTATAGTATTTATCCTTGAAATATAGTTGATAGCCAGACCCCCATTTTTAAAAAGTTGAAATACCTACTATGTATTCCATGAAATTCAATAAAATAGAATTCTCCTGTATCATACAGGGTAGTCTCTCCCTTTATCAACATTGATGTTTGAGAGTGAGAGATAAAAAAGGCTCAGGAGGAAAACGCTGAACCTTTCACATTATCTTGCAGGGACTGGAGAAAAATAACCAACAAAATATTTGAAAAATACATTTACACATTCATATATTAAAGTATAATGGCAGTTCAGGCAACACAGAAAGAACATTTCTGTACTTTCTTCTTTGATCAGGCACATGAAGTTGTGACCACTTAGTTCTCTTTTCCTGGTGATGAAACAGCAGCACTGGCACTGTGAATTACCATGTGAATTACTGATTCTGGGAAAGATTGAGGACAGGAGGAGGAGGAGGCAACAGAGGATGAGACAGCTGGATGGCATCACAGACTCAATGGACATGAATCTGAGCAAACTCTGGGAGACAGTGGAGGACAGGCAAGCCTGGTGTGCTGCAGGCCATGGGCTCGCACAGAGTCAGACACGACTGAACAACTGAACAAAGAGCGCTGAACTAAAAGAGAGGGACATCCCTTCTATGTAAGCCTGACAGCAGTCGGCCAACTTCTTTCTGGAATTTTGCAGATATAAGAGAAACAATGTCTACTTTTTGGTTAGTAATTATAGCATATTTTAACCAATAGTGTATATAAGACAGTTTTGCAATTTGTGAAACTGAAATGCCTTTTGGGAAGGCAACAGTCTTCAGAGATTGGTAAAGTCTCCCTCTGAAGCATAATGGTTCCACATTCATGCTTTGCTCTACTGTACTTTAGACTCCAACTGTATATTAGACAACTCACTGTTAAATAAACTCGACGCTGCCAACTACTATGATCAGAGCATCTAAGCAGGGAAGAAATCTGCAAGAGGTGAACAGTTTAGCAAGGCTTCAACAAGGGAACAACGTACCTACCTGGGCTCTGAAGTCTGGGTCAGAGATGAAAGAAGGAAGACTTGGAAAATGGATGAGGGAGAAGAAAACACAAACAGCAATAGTTCTGGGGTTGGAGGGAAAGAATGAGAAATTAGTATGAACTGTTTAAAGCACCAGGTGCACATGGAAGATCAGTGAAAGAGAAAGCGGCAAAGGTGCTATGCGGCCTTGGAACGCCAGGCTTCGAAGAGAGGGAGACTTTCCCGTGCAGGTAGCACGCGAGCCCTGAAGGTTTTTGAGAAAATCACTTACTGTATCATTCATTTGATAATCATTATCTATTATCTCATTACATCTTCTGGTCTGTTATGCTATTTAATTCTTTTTCAACTAAGTAATTAGTATTTTACTTTTCTGCCCTTTATGAATAAAAATTAGTTTTAAGATTATTTAAAAACAAAAAAACTAAACCATAAACAGGTAAAACCAAGACAGAGTCTCCATTTACACAGTTCCATCTGATCCTCTAGCTCACTGTTGTCAGATAAGTTCAGGGAAGATCATGACGTTGTACAGCCCGGGAAGCTAAAAGGATGAGCTAAAACTTCTGTATCCAGCTCCATCCCATCCACAGGTGCCTGCAAGATGGCTCAGCCCAGGCCACTGATCCAGGACACAGACTAAGAAGTTCAAACACTATGAGATGAAAATTTAGACCTATCTTTGTTCTGTGGGCCTGCAACCTCTGCTTACTCCACAAACGTTCCTAAGTGTCAACAAGCCTTCCAAGGATGGACTGGTTAACTTTCTATGTGAGCTCCTAGAGACTGAGTACTGGTCTCCCCATCTACTCTCAGCTAACCACTGTGCTAGACACAGTGCATCAGAACCTAGACTACAAATCTAAGGGTCAATTTTGCTTTTGCTTAACCCCCCCACATACCCCTCCCCACACCCCCATCTGCTCTACCTTAAGTATATCCATCCTCTCCCCACTGTCCAAAGTATCTGGAATCCAGTCACTTCTTACTTCCCTCCACCATCAGATCTCAACTGGGCTACTTCAACAGCTAATAATATCTAAACCCTGTCCAAGTCTCCACCCTCATTTCCTACTGGTCTTCTTGCTGTTACTGGAACATGCCAAATACATGTTAAGTGGATTCCCTTCTTAAGGTCTCTGCACTTGCTCAACTTCTCTGCCTGGAACAAACACACACTCAGATCTGGCAGGACTTTTCTCATTCTTCAAGCCTCAGCTTATATATCATTTCCATACAATGGCCTTCCTTGACCATAACAAATAATATTGCCACTCCTCTCAAAAATCCTTATCTGGTTTTATTTTCTTCACAGCACTTTCATAAGACTTTTGAAATTATATTGTGCATTTATACTTTTAAAAAATATTATTTATAGTCTTTCTCATATCTACTATATCCCCAGTAAGCATAATGCTTAGCACATAGTAGGAGATCAGTAAATTCATATGAAAATGAATAAGAAACCCAGTTTTCACCCACAATCAGTGGGTTAAGACAGATTTATAAACAGATAAACTATAACACTCTAAGTGCCATAACAGAGGTTTGCCATACTCTGAGAGTAGAGGGCTTATAGGCCAGTGTGAGGAAGTTGCAAAGCAGGTAAGAAAAGAAAAGAAACTCAGGCAAGTGGGAAGTCCCAGAAAAATCCAAGACCCAGGAAAAAGTCACCTAGATTGCCAGATTTCTGGAGTGAAACTGCAGAAGGTAAGACTGGAGTGCAAGACAGATCCTTACATAATCCCAAGAAGCCT